GGTGTAAGTTGCTCATAATATGTTCTTATAATTATTTATATTTCTTTGGTGTTGGTTGTGATCTCTCCTCTTTCATTTGTGATTTTATTAATTTGGGTCCTTTCTCTTTTCTTTTTGATAAGTCTGGCCAGGGGTTTATCAATCCTATTAATTATTTCAAAGAACCAGCTCCTAGTTTCATTGATTTGTTCTACTGTTCTTTTGGTTTCTAATTCATTGATTTCTGCTCTGGTCTTTATTATTTCTCTTCTCCTGCTGGGTTTAGGCTTTCTTTGCTGTTCTTTCTCCAGCTCCTTTAGGTGTAGGGTTAGGTTGTGTACCTGAGACCTTTCTTGTTTCTGAGAAAGTCTTGTATCGCTATATATTTTCCTCTCATGACTGCTTTGCTGTGTCCCAAAGATTTTGAACAGTTGTGTTTTCATTTGTTTCCATGAATTTTTTCAATTCTTCTTTAATTTCCTGGTTGACCCATTCATTCTTTAGTAGGATGCTCTTTAGCCTCCATGTATTTGGGTTTTTTCCAACTTTCCTCTTGTGATTGAGTTCTAGCTTCAGAGCATTGTAGTCTAAAATATGCAGGGAATGATCCCAATCTTTTGGTACCAGTTGAGACCTGATTTGTGACCCAGGATGTGATTTATTCTGGAGAATGTTCCAAGTGCACTGGAGAAGAATGTGTATTCTGTTATTTTGGGATGGAATGTTTTGAATATATCTGTGAGGGCCATCTTGTCTAGTGTGTCATTTAAAGCCTTTATTTCCTTGCTGATCTTTTGTTTAGATGATCTGTCCATTTCAGTAAGAGGGGTGTTAAGTCTCCTACTGTTATTATATTATTGTCAATATGTTTTTTTGATTTTGTTATTAACTGGTTTATATAATTGACTGCTCCCCTGTAGGGGCATAGATACTTAAAATTGTTAGACCTTTTTGTTGGGCATACTCTTTAAGTATGGTATAGTGTCCTTCCTCATCTCTTATTATAGTCTTCTGTTTAAAATCTAATTTGTCTGATGTAAGGATTGCCACCCCAGCTTTCTTTTGATGTCCATTAGCAAGGTAAATGGTATTCCACCCTCTCATTTTGAATCTGGAGGTGTCTTTGGATCTAAAATGAGTCTCTTGCAGACAGCATATTGATGTGTCTTGTTTTTTTATCCATTCTTATACCCTGTGTCTTTTGATTGGGGCAATTAGCCCATTTACACTTAGGGTAACTATTGAAAGCTATGAATTTAGTGCCATTGTAAAGCCTATAAGGTGACTGTTACTGTATATTGTCTCTGTTCCTTTCTGGTCTGTTACTTTTAGTCTCTCTCTTTGCTTAGTGGACCCCTTTCAATATTTCCTGGAGGGCTGTTTTGGTGTTTGCAAAATCTTTTAATTTTTGTTTTTCGTGGAAGCCTTTTATCTCTCCTTCTATTTTCAATGACAGCCTATCTGAATATAGTATTCTTGGCTGTATATTTTTCTCGTTTAGTGCTCTGAATATATCATGCTAGTCCTTTTTGGCCTGTTAGGTCTCTGTGGATAGGTTTGCTACCAATCTAATATTTTTACCATTGTATGTTACAGACTTCTTTTCCCGAGCTACTTTCGGGATTTTCTCTTTGTAACTGAGACTTGTAAATTTTACTATTAGATGATAGGGTGTGGACTTATTTTTATTGATTTTAAGGGGGATTCTCTTTGCTTCCTGGATTTTGCTGCTTCTTCCATTCATCAAATTAGTGAAATTCTCTACTATAATTTGCTCCAATATAACTTCTGTCCCCCTCTCTCTTTCTTCTTCTGGGATCCCAATTATTCTAATATTAATTCATCTTATGGTACCACTTATCTCTCAAATTCTCCTTTTGTGGTCCAGTAGTTGTTTGTCTCTCTTTTGCTCAGCTCCTTTTAATCTCCATCATTTGGTCTTTTATATTACTAATTGACTCTTCTGCCTCATTTATCCTAGCAGTTAGAGCCTCCATTTTTGGTTGCACCTTATTAATAGCTTTTTTTTATTAGCAATAATAAATAACTAATAACTTGGTTAGACTTTAGTTCTTTTATTTTCTAGAAAGGGCTTTTATTTCTCCAGAAAGCGATTCTCTAATATCTTAAATGCTTTTTTCAAGCCCAGCTAGCACCTTGATAATTGTCATTCTGCACTCTAGTTCTGACACATTACTAATGTCCGTTATGATTAGGTCCTTAGCTGTCAGTACTACCTCTTGTTCTTTTTTTGTGGTGAGTTTTTCTGGCTTGTCATTTTATCCAGGTAAGAATAGTTGAATGAGAGAACAAAATACTAAAGGGGTAGCAATGACTCCAGAAAAATATATACTCGCCAAATCAGAAGAGACCCTAAACTGGGGGGGGGGGAGAAGATGGGGGGGAATCTATATCTCTATCTATCTATCTATCTATATATATTAGACTGGTGAATAGAACAGAGCTGCACACTTGATTTTGGGTGTATTTTTGTCTGTTAGAAGAAACTACCTCCCAAAATTTTAAAGAAAGAAAAACATATATATACAAAAATAAGGGTAAACACAATGAAGGGTGGAATATGGCTGTAAAGATGAAAATTTAAAAAGATTCTAAAAAAGGAGTTGATATGAAGTTGGTTGAAAAAAGAAAAAAAAGAGAGGAAAGAATGTGATCAGGCTGGAGACTATAAGAAAACCATCTGCTAGATTTAGGGTGTATTTTGATCTATTAGAAGAAATTGTATCCCATAATTTTAAAGAAAAAAACCTATATCTATAAAAGAAATAAGGTTAAATACAGTGAAGGGATAAAATATGAGTATAACAATGAAAAGTAAAGATTTTTAAAAAGGTATTAATAAGATAAAATAGTTAAAAACTGTTAAAATTGGAAAGAGGTAAAGTTAAAAAAATAGAATAAAAAAAATAAATTTAAAAAAATTTAACTTTGAAGGACTAAAGGATCATGGGAAAAAAGCCATGAATTCTATGTGTTGCTTTCCCCTAGCTCTAGAGTTCTGAAGTTCTCATTTATCAGTGTACTTGGTCTGGCTGGATGTTCTTGCTGATCTTCTGTGGGAGGGGTCTGTGGCAGTGATTCTGAAATGTCTTTGCCCAAGGCAGAATTGCACCGCCCTTGCCAGGGGCCAGGCTAAATAATCTGCTTGTGTTCACTCTTGGAGCTTTTGTTCTCTGAATGCTTTCCATAGGGTTTTGGAGGTGGAGAATGAAAATGGCGGCCTCCCAATCTCCACCCACATAGGAGCCGAGAGTTTGGGACCCCGCTCCTCAGTGCGCCCGCAGAGAAATGCAGTCAATCCCTCCTATCTCCCTGGTCGTTGGTCGCCCTCTGTGTTCACTAGGCCTGTGACCGAGCATTTCTATCTCTGGTGCACGGCCCCGTTTGGAGTCTCCAAACCCAGCAGATTCCTGGTGTGCACTCCCACACTGCTGTAGGAGGAAGGAGGCGGTCTCCCCGGATCTGCTGCTTGTAGGGTCCCTGCCTGAAGAGCAGTGGCCCAGGTGTGCCTTGGATCACGGTTTAAGGTGACCCTGAGCTGGGAGCCCACTGCTCCGCTCCATCTCTGCAGCTGACTTCCCCACTCTGATACCTGGGAGATCTGCTGCACTCAGATACCCCTGGTCTTTTTGTGTCCCTGCGGGTCCTGAGACCACACTGTCCCTGCAAGGGCACCACTTCCCGCTTAGCCTTTGGAGCAGCGACCCTCAGTGGAGCAGACTTCTTAAAGTTACGATTTTTTGCTCCACTGCTCTCTCACTTGCCAGGAGCCAGCTCCTCCCTCCACGGTCTATCTTCTTGTGGCTTCAGATTCACTTCTCTGCACATCCTACCTTCTGCAACGTGGTTGATTTTCTGTTCCTAGAATTGCTGCCCTTCTTCTTTTCTTTCTCCTGTTGAGTTTGTAGGTGTTCAGAATGGTTTGATAACTAGCTGAACTCCTGGGACCTGATGATATCTCGGTCTTCTACTTCTCCACCATCTTGGTCCTTCCAAATTATCACCATATTTTGCTTAGTTAGCATTTCTGTGTATTTAAATTGGAAAGGCGTACAGGTTGGTCTCTATGTTTTCAGACCATAAGTCTCATATTTTACAAAAATGCAGTATTATACTATTTTATGTAGTTTTCCTCAAATCATGTTTATCCCAGGTTATTTTTCTCCCAACACCATTGAAATCCATATAACAGGGGGGAGGGGAAATTTCTAATTTCTCATGGAGAGGCTTTATCTCGTGCATTAATATTCTAGGATTTGTATCACAGCCCAGAAGTCTGGTCTTGGTCTTTAGTGGCCAGGCATCAGCAGTAATGGTTTCTTTGGTAAGGACTGAAGTGGGTACTTAGAACATGGAAGGAAAAGAAAAAGAACCATGGGAAAACCATGGATTAGTTGGCCATTCCCAGCTACTGCACTATTATGAGATGTTAGGATCTAGACAAGAGTGACAGAAAGAGGAATATCCCAAGTAGTTTTGACCTTATGGTGTCACCATATGAGTAATGATGTACTGATGTTATATCAGCCCCTTGAAATATTAGTGTGACATAAATACTATTTCCTTGGAAGGACCGTGTGCCTTGTAGAAATGGAATGGGCTCCCCCATGTAAAACTTTTTCAGAGAAATGGAAATAGAGTGTGCAGAAAGAAGTAAGAACATAAAATGCTCGGTCAGAGCGAGTGTGCTGTGCAGCGTTTACCAGAATTGTGTCTCTGTGCTTTATTGGCCATTCCCATGCTGTTGAGGCGCTCATACCCCAAAAGATTTCGCTGTCCATCTGACCGGGGTGTCTGACTGAATTCTGGCCTGACGTGTGTGCTGTCTTCACTTGATGACAGTTTTTTTTTGGCCTTTTGTGAGGGATGTATGAGGCCCCAGTTACTTGGCCAGTGCCACAGACAATGGCATATGGAAATTCTCCTTAGAGACGTGGAGAAGAAACGTTTGGTGTTTTACTTACAGATAACGCCCTACTTTTGTTTTTATCTCTTTGCAGCTTTGAAGCTCAGAGAAGAAGGAAAATCCATTGAGAACAGTCTGTAAAGGTAAGTGTATTTATTACATGGCCTTGACAAACATTGCCTTTACAACATTGATTTTTCTTTTATTCAGAGATTTAAACACTTGGATTAAAGATACAGCTGACAGGACAACTTCCTTAACCACCTGCTTGTCCCCCCTCTTAGGCAAAAGTGCTGAGCAATAGTTAGCAGAGAGCAGGAGGAAATAAAATGATATGCTGAGGGTAGCCAAATGCAATTGTATGCTTGCTGACTTTTGCTTTCTTCTCAGCAGTTAAGACATTCCAATGGAGCTCAGTTTACTAAGATTAATGTTAGCTGGAAAAAGAATGCACTCGTACCACTTCTAGTCGATGGTTAAATAAAACCAGCTGGCCAAATAAAGCATTTAAACTAAAATGCAGAGTGGCATTTGAATTGGGTTGGATGAAATTTATCATGGAAGTCAGTTGTGCAGTTACGTGGAGAAGCTAGTTTTGTAGAAAGGAAAAAGCCAGCCAGTTTGGTGTAGCTAATTTCATTCTGCCCAGTCTCTGTGGACCCTAAGTGAGTTACAGGAAATGAACTTCCAAGTTCGAAGCAATGGGAAAAGTACCCATCGGCTTTCTGTGAAAGATTACAATTGTGTTGGTTTTTACATGGAAAAATGTAATTGTTTCCTCTTTGCTAGGTATATTTATAAGCATACCGCTGTACAGCATTGTTCTTTGATTCATTGTTTAATTTCTGTTCTGCATGAAGTATTTTAATTTAAAGAATTCATTCTGGGGAATTACAGGGCTGCAGTTTCATCAAGAGTCTTTGGTGGCCAGGGTGAAATATGCCATAATTTAACATTTGTTTTCATCATCAATTATGTTTTTGACAATTTTAGGTTTTTTTTTCCTGTTGTTTTTATTACAGCAATCATGACCGTGACCACTTAAGTTAAAGTCGAAAGCCATTTTGATTTACCTTATATTTTAAGTTATTCCTAACTTCATGACAAATCTACTTCTGGGGCTGAATTTTTAATGTTTGTTTTGAGGGGGAAAAGATTTTTGCAGGGAAATTGGAGAAAACCTCTTTTGAATGATCAAAACATGAGCTATAAAAGCACCATTTGGAGGTTCTGCTTTGGAATGACTAAACTCTGGTGCATGAAGGCTGGTTGGCATGGAATTTTTCTAAAATGGTTTTCAGGCATATAACTTACACACCTCTGGACCACTGAGCCACATCTTGGAGTAAAGTGGTACTTGATGGCATCTTAGAAATAAATTCTCATAAGTTATTGGGGCTGGTGACGATGTGGCAAGCTTCAGAATCTTGCGGTCTTTAGGTACCGTTATGATACTCCCATTTCTCGTTGGAGAATGTTTTCACGCAGCACAGACCCTTTCCTCTGCTCTCAATGAAAATCCTTTGTTAAATTGGTATTTTGGAGTCAGACATGGATTCAGTCCTGGGTTGACTTTAATAACTGTTGGACCATGGGCAACTTATTTACCCCCCATGTCTCAGTTTCCTAGTTTGTGAAATGGAGGTAATAATATTGTTTTCCTCATAAGGTTGTTGTGAAGGTTAAATGAATTATTAGGTATTAAAGGCTTGGAACAGGTCCTGGCCCACGACAAATGCTCAGTATGTGTTAGTTGCTGCTGCTCTTGTTAATATTACTGTCATCATCATTATCATCAAATCAGCATCCTTCTGAATTGATTCATTAGACATTTTGAGAAGTCTGTGCTCTTTGGAAGCTTCAGGATAATGTTTCCAAAATGAGCATGTCAGTACTAAAGAAGGACAAATTCTGCTTTGTCTTTAGGAATCAGAGGAAAAGATAGCTTTCAGATAAAGTGAGAAGTGAGGCCTCTGGAAATAAGAAGTTGTCAAGGTGAAGTTTTGTAGGCATTAGGGTAAACGCTTTCTTCGGCTGTGTGTAGACAATTATTAGTTAATAGAGTCTTCAGAAATTAATGATCTAACTGCTAGTTAGTTAGGTTCTTAAGGAATTTTTGAAGAAAGTCTTGGCAAGTGTAGAAGGACTTGTCCCCCTTTCCCTTTCTTTCCCTGTCTTGTATCTGTTTTCCCTTCCTAACAGCACTTTGATTTCCTTTGCGGGTGGTTAGATGAGTGGAGCTGTAACCAGAGGCCATACCCAGGGGCCTATACTCGGCCTAGGGGTGGGTGCATAGTCAGTAGCTTGATTAAGTGAGTGTTCATGTGCAGTTTCAGTTTTGAGCTAGAGGATTCTCCTTGGGCATTCTGCTCTGAGCATACCTACTGTGGGACTACCTGAGCAGTTCCCTTTCTTTAGTCTCCATGTCTGTCTTGGCAAATGATGGTTGCTAAGCCTTATTTTCCAGTGGAAAATTAGGCTTATTTTCCATGATTCCCCAAGCCCCTCGTCTTCTTCCAATAATCCTCCTCAAATTAGCCAACTGGCTTCAGTCTTGGAACCACAGAAGCTGAAGTAATAGTTGACACATTAGGGAGCTAGATAATAAACGGGCTATGTTTGGAGGTTTACAATTAAAATATCATTCATTACTTCCTTCCATCATGTGTAAGTACCTGAACGTTTTGCAGTGGGTTATAAAAGGTGCAGAATTCTCAATTAGTATTTTAAAAGTGGGCCATTTTGCTGGACTTCCCATGATTCCTGTGTTTGGTAGAGAGAAGTCACTTCTGGCTACTAATCTAAGTTTTCAAAGGGTGTGTGTGTGTGTCGGGGGAGAGCTGGAAATGGCAAGAAAGCAGAGAGATCTTCGCTCTAGTTTTTGGGGCCCTGGGCTGGAGGTTGTGAAGGGACTGTGATTTCCTTCCCCCTACTCCAGCCTCCCCAAACAAAACTCAATATGTATTTTTCTGCTTTTCCCTGAATCTTTATTCTTCTTTTGAACACTTGCCTTGCCCTACTGAACACCTTCTTTTCAACGATGTGTACAGTGTGATTGAAAACTCAATTATTTTGGTCTCTGGCATTCCTTGTGGTTTCTCGAGAATGGAATGGGCAAGTGCACTCTGTTTCCCCTTGTGTCTTGTTTGTTGACTACTTCTGTGTTCTGTGCAGTGCCTAGAACAAAGTTGGTTAATGATTTTTTCACAGGAACATCAATTTTGCACTCCTACTGTGAGTAAGTAGCATGAGTGCCTTGTATGGTGGAAACTTACCTGACATGTTAGGAAACATGCTTTCTAGTTTGGGCACTGCTGTTGGTAGCTTTATGATCCTGGACAAAATACCCAACATTTCTTAAGGTCTCAGCTGTAAAGTCAGGATAACCTTTGCCCAGTCTTCTGCATCGAGGTGTTCTGAGGTTGACATAAACGTAATCTGTGTGAGAATGCTTAGCCAGTTGTCAGGTGCTGGCATAACATCAGTGAACGATGGTGATGCTGATGACGATGGTACCATTTATGTTAAACAGATTGAAAAATCAAGGGATTTTTTTTTTTTTTAAATATAAGGCCAAGTAGAAAAGGGACATAAATAAAAAAAACAAAAATAAAAATAAAACTCTGCCTGGTGCTTGTGCTGGACATTCCATTTGTGCCTCTGGCTCCTTGCTCCTCTGAGCCCCGGGAGGCTACCCTCTCTTGTCAGCATTCCCTGGTTTACCTTGCTCTCCGGCACTGGGTGAAAAGCCGAGAATGTGAGTTTGGAACATTGTTCCCTACCATCCTGCAGCACTGTGGTTGGCAGTGGCTGTATCCCTCTAAGGAGGGCCGCGGGTGCCGGGGACATAGGAAATGGTAAACTTTCAGCGCCTGGACATTTTGGTGGTACAGTTGGAAGGATTCTATCAATCAGTTTTTTATAAAGCAAGTTTTGGAGAAATGAAAAACCTTATGGTAACCCTAGTATATAAAGACATCCAATATTATACATGTAACGAATTATCTTTTAAAATTCACCTTTATTTTTATCAAAGCAACCTATCTACCTTGTTTGAATAGAACAGCACTAAAAAGCAAATAATGAAAAACTGCAACACCTACCCCCTCCTCCTGCATTTCTCCTACCCTTCCAGCCCACACCCCACAATGGACAACTTTCAACTCTGATACTTCCGGTGTTTATCTGTTGCCAAAAATGTGCTTATGCTGGTTTTTTCCCCCCTGCTGTATTGATTTTAACAATAGTTCTTTGACAGTCCCCACTCTTATTGCTTCTGGTCCCCACAGCCCCCTAACATAATTATATCACAATTTTTGCTTAAATCAAAATTTAACACTTAAATTATCATGTTGGTCTGATTGGTAATGTGTTCTTTAATGTGGAACTCTTGGTCTTCCTTGGAATTAACATATTCTTTGGAAATTTGCTTTTTTTCCTAGGCATCTACCTTATGAGGTGTAGGCAGTAATAGCATTTCCATTTTATAGATGTGTAAATTGAGGCTTGAGGCTGAAGTATTTTGCCCAGAGTCACACAGCTAGTAAACACCAGCCAGTCTCTCTACAAAGTCTGCATTCTTAATCATGACGTTGTTTGAAAACACTGTCACTTCAGCTGTTATTCTAATGGCTCTGTTAAAGCAAAGCAACACTTTAGGTCTTTCAGGTTCAGAATCAGTAGATCTGAGGTGGGGACCAATGTAGAAAGCTCCACAGGTGATTCCATTGATCGCCAGGGTCTGAGACCTTCTGTTCTATATCCTGTCATTACCTGTAATCACCATCCTCACCGTCATCGTCATCAACAGCATCACCACCACCTCCGTCAGCAGCAACAGAGGACAGTCTTGTGCTCTGTCATTAAGTAGAAATCCTGGTGTCTATTAAAGCAGTTGCTTTTTGACCTCGTGGTGAGATCACACTGGTGGGTGATCAGGTAATAATTTATCTGGCCATTTTTCCTCTGTGGGTGCACAGAGGAACTGTGCCCTGTAGACCTGGACAAGGGTATTTTTTCACCTCAGTTAGTTGTTTACCAGTTACTTTATTTGGTAAAAAAAAAAAAAAAAAAAGCAATAAGAACATTGTCTCTGTACTTAACCCTGACCTTAAAGGGACTCATTTTTTTTTCTGAGTCCCCT